AGTTCAGGGTGGCCAGGAGGCGCACACCAGAGCAGGGACAGTTCAGGGTGGCCAGGAGGCGCACACCGGAGCAGGGACAGTTCAGGGTGGCCAGGGCTACAGGGAGATGGTCTCAGCAAGCAAACAGACAGATAGAAAGGGAGCATTATGAGTAACTTCACGTCAGTGAATTTGACTATTTAGATTAAACAGATGCCTTGAAAGACAAACAACCAAAGTTCACTTAAAAAAAAGGTATCCCTGAGAGCCATCTATTAAAGGAACTTGTAAGTTAAATATTGTGTAATCAAAACTATATCAACTTTACGCACATTAAAAAAAAAACAGCCTGGGTGCTGTTGTGGAGAATTTTTGCTCCAGGCTAGCACACCTGTACTTCTAGCTTTCTTGGTAGGTAATTGGAGCTGGTAGTCTGGGCTGACTTTGAAAGATATTTGTGCACTAGATTTTCAGCTACAACACTAAAATTATGATCCATAAAAATACTGGGCTGGGAAGGTGGCTCAGTGGTAGAGCACTTGCCTTGCATGCCTGAGGCCTTGGGTTCGATTCCTCAGCACCACATAAGCAAAAAGAAAAAAAAGCTGGAAGTGGCGCAGTGGCTCAAGGGGTAGAGCGCTCGCCTTGAGCTGAAGAGCTGAGGGACAGCGCCCAGGCCCAGAGTTCAGGCCCCACAACCGGACCCCCCCAAAAAATCTTAAATACTGATAAACTGGACTTAAGTAAAATAAGAGCTTTTGTTCTCTGAAAGATGCTATTTTTTTGGGGTCCAGTCGTGGGTCCTGAACTCTGGGCCTGGGCGCTGTCCCTCAGCTCTTCATCTCAAGAGCTAGCGCTCTACCACTTGAGCCACAGTGCCAGTTCTGGCTTTTGTAGTTTATTGGAGATGAGTCTCAGGGACTTTCCTATCCAGGCTGTCTTTGTACTGTGATCCTCAGATCTCAGCCCCCTGAGTAGCTAGGATTATAGGCGTGAACCACTGGCACCCAGCTTAAAATATTTTCTTTTTAAAATCTCAAAACACTGCAATAAACAAATGACCTCAAGCCCGGCATGGTGGAGAGCCTCTGCAGATGCACTGCTCTCCCAGCCCCAGCATGATCCCGGGCTCCCAGGTGGCCACTCAGCACGAGGTGCCAGGACCCTGTGGGGCTGGGGTGCACCTGGCACCAGGGGTCCATGAGGCCCAGCAGCCTGCTCTGGAGGTTGGGGAAGTCGGCCACGTAGTTCTTCACGAGGTCTACTCTGTCTGGGAGCAGCAATGGGGTGCTCATCTGTGAGAGAAACAGAATGTGCTCAGGAGCCAACCCTGCATGTGCACACACACACACACGAGCGTACACGCGTGCACACACACATGCACACATGTGTACACGGGCCTTGTCCATGGTAGGCTCAGGCCCTATCTTTTTTTTGGGGGGGGTCCTGTCGTGGGGCCTGAACTCTGGGCCTAGGCGCTGTCCCTCAGCTCTTCAGCTCAAGGCTAGTGCTCTACCACTTGAGCCACAGCGCCACTTCCAGCTTTTTTTTCTTTTTGCTTATGTGGTGCTGAGGAATCGAACCCAGGACCTCAGACATGCAAGGCAAGCGCTCTACCACTGAGCCACCTTCCCAGCCCCATCAGGCCCTATCTTGAACCATCCACACGATGAAGGACAGAGGCCTTGGGAGGCTCAGTTGTTACCTTCTGTGCGGCTGCCTGGTTGGGCACCGGCAGGATGGGGACGGACACCTAGTGGCCAGAAGACATCTTCAGACCTGGGGAGTCGGGCCTGGAGCCCCCCACAAGGCTGCCAAGTTTCCCTGGAGCCCAGGGCGGCCGAGGGGGCCCTGGCTGTGGCCTGGGTTCACACTAGCCACCTGGTATGAAGCCCCCACCCCCCCAGCCCCTGCAGCCCCTCCCACCTCTCTGCCTTTCCCACCCGGCTACTCAGAGCTCAGAGCCACAGAGGGGCTGGCCCCAGGCCTCCGGTGAGCACCCAGCCCTGGAAAGCTCAACCAGCACCCACATGATGGACAGAGGCCTGCCAATGTGTGCTTAGCCCTTCCAGTACCCAGCGGGGCCCTGGAGTGCGGGCTGGCCACGCAATGTTCTTGTGCGTCACCCAGCTGGGGTCCCCAAACAGGGTCTCCTCTGCTGGCCCGCTGCAGTGCAGAAGTGGAACACCACGCAATGGGGCCTGGGCCTGGGAGCCCGCTCCGAAGGCTGGCAGCGTAGCCCCAGCGTGCACTGAGCCAGGCCTGGTGGAGGCCAGGGCGCCCTGCGCATCCTGTGATATGCCCCTTCCCCCGGGGCCCGGCAAGGAGACCACCTGTCCCCACTGCGCCCTGCGTCTGACAACCTGGGCTGCCTCGAAGTGTGCGCTGCAGTATCTGCCTAAGAAGACATTTATTTACCTTTTCAACATCCAGTTCTGGCTGCAGCTTCAACCTCGCACCCAGCACCACTGCCTGGCAACACAAAGGGAACTATTGCACTTGCCCACAGGGCCACGCATCCCGGGACAGGCTCCACACAAACACTGGCCTCGGCAGACACAGCCAGGGCCCTTCCGCATACAACTGCATTGCTCCAGGAGTCTTAGAGACCCCTGGGAGACCCGGCCACCCTGGGAGGGAACAGAGGAAGGGGGTCACCCTACTCGTGGCCAGTGGGAGCATGAGGCCTCCAGCTGCCCCTGCCCCTCCCGTCCAGGCACACACACAGGAAAGGGCTGCATGACCAGTGCTGTGCCTGAAGCTGAGGGGCCAGGTGGAGGCCGGAGGGAGGAGAGAGGCCTGCAGCCCACAGGGCCCCAAGTCCAGCCATGGGGGGTGACCAGAGGAAAGACAGACTGGTGGACATGAGGAACCCATGGATGGAGGCTCTCACAGTGGACGTGGGACCCCCGGATGGA